CCACAGAGCCCGGGTGAAGGCGTCGAAGCTGGCCTGGCTCAGTGCCCGCTTCACAGCCACCATAAACAGCTTGGCTCTGCCCACCTCCGTCCCGGCTGCCGGCACCTCCTGCTGACACACACCCAGGCCCCGTCAGGTGGTGCTGACCCTTCCTGGTCCGCAGGGACAGCGAGCCGTGGCCAGGTGCTGCCAGGGAGGATGCAGGCAGCCGGGGGAGCCAGCTTCAGCTTCAGATGGCCATGCCCCTCCAAGAGCAACAAAGGGACCAAGTGCAGACTCACTCTCACTGGGCTGGGGGCTTTGGCTCCTCTGCCAAGTTCCCCATGCCCAAGGCAGGGGCAGCTGAGGTGGCCGCACCTGGCTTGGAGGACGGTCAGCTCACAGCACGGGACACTTCACAATGTCTCAGGGACTTCAAATGTCCCTCTGCCCCACTTCTGGGGCACACCCCAGCCCTGGCCCCGGGCCTGCTGCAAGGAAGCGTGGAAACCAAATAGGAGGGCCCAGGTTCCCAAGCTGCCATCTAGCTTGGCCTTCAGAGGCCACTTCCTCAGTGTCAGGCCCCACAGCACCGCCCGCTTCTTTCCAGAAGCCAAGGGAAGTGGACAAAGGCAGTGGCATCTGGGGTTTTCCACAGGCTTCCAGAATGTAACTCCGTTGCTCTTAACTGCTTTCATCCGAGGCTGGGAACACCACGCTCCTCACTCAGGCACATCAGCATCCTCACTCATGCCAAGAGCCCCACCCCGCCCAGGGGAGCCAGCCCGGCAGCAGGCCCTACACCAAACCTGCCTAAAGGGCTGGGGCCTGGCTCCTACCAGGCTGGTAGGCAGAGCCTCGCAGGGAAGGAGCCCACGGGCCTGTGTGGACCCCACCAAAGAATAAAACAAAAGGCCCGAATCTGACCCCAGCTCTGTAGAACGCAGAAGTACTGCCCCAAGTGGGCGCTGCTGGAGGCCCCAGAAACGGGAAGTGGCATCGCACGCAGGGGCTCCACGCTGTTCCTGAGGGCACCGTGGGGCCTGAGGTGCCTCAGCAGAGAGTGAAGATAGACGAAGGATGGGACCAGGGCCCTGGGGGTGGACGGCAGCAGTGGGCTGCAGAGCCATCTCCTTGGGGGAGGCGTGCAGGCTGCGGGTCTGCCGCTCGCTCCCCTCCTGCACCTGCTCCTGGACCGGGGCGGGGGAGGCACACAGAGCCCTGCCCCTGCCCACAGGCCGGCAGGCTCCCTTCCCTGGCCCGGCTCCAACAGGCCTCCAGAACCTGTCCACCTTGTGGGTACAGCTGAGTTGGGCCAGTGGGGAGGTCTGGCCCACTCACACCTCCCACTGCTTGGCCGGGGGCCACGCAGAGCCGCACCAGCTGGAGGCTCCCATCGCACCTCCGGACCCATCTGTGGGCGCCTCACGTACCGGGGCACCGACCAGCCTGACCTTCCTCCTCCTGCCTCTCTGTTCATCGGCTGGTCTCTTCTCACGCAGGACTGACAAGGTGGAGTGGAGGGGTGCCTGAGGGAGACACAGGTGTGGTTCAGCCCACACCCTCAGGGCTCCAAAGCTCGCAGGGCAGGGAGAAGCACCCCTTGGGAACCAAGTGTGAGAGCAGGCTCTAGGCGGCAGTTTCACAGTAACCGGCTCACCCCGGGGCCCAGAGGGCAGGGCGGGAGAGAGGCACGGAGCTGCAGGTCAGGCGGGAGAGTACGGGCTCTGGACAAAGATCCCAGGGCAGAAGGTCCCAGAAAGGACCTGCCTTGTCTATAGTAGGAGCTGGAACCAGAGCAGACTGCCCAGCTGATGCCCCAGAGAGAACCCCAGGGCATGTGGGGGAACCAGTAGAGGGTCGGGGCTGTGCTGGTGGGGGGGAGGCGGCACACAGCTCTCCAGGCAGGTGCTGGAAGACCCCAACCGTCCTCCTGACAAAGGGGTCGGGCAGGGCTGATGTGGCGATATCCAAGAGCAGACGGGCAGAGAGCCCCTGGTATCCACCTCCAGGGACCTCGGCACGCATACCTCCTCCCCGGAGAGGGCCTCATCCCCAGGCCCCTTGGCCAGCTGCTCGCTGTGTTCCAGGGCAGCCAGCAGCCCCCGGGCCCGCCGCTGGGCCTGGACAGGCCTCTGCTCATACTCCACACACAGGCTGCCCTCCGCATCCTCGGCGACTGGGGACCCTGCAGGAGCACGTGTGTGGGCAGCACCGTCCCCAGGGAGAGCAGAGCCCCCAGCGAGTCAGGCCTGCTGGGCCTGCCACGGGCCCAGTGTGCCACCAGCCCTGCCCTCCACCCCAAGGCCCCCACCCAGCAGGTCCCTCAGCCACACACACCCGTGCTTCTTTGCCTCAGGCTAGGCACATGCACATCCAGACTCATGGCTTTCCTGGTGGGGAGGGAGCTGGGCGACACGGCCGCTGAGATGGTACCTTCTTCGCCCAGACTCGGGGCAGCAGCCAGAACAGTGGGCACCGGCATCTAAACAGTCGTAAAATGGCTGGGGTCTGACCTGGCCCCTCCCTGGTTAGGGCCAAGGGCACAGCCAGCCAGCACTGGGGACTCACGGTTTTCTGAGCCACGCGGAAGAACTGGGCCACGTCTCGGATGACGTGGCCAAAGCTGTTGTACACCTTGACGTGGGGGCGCACCCAGGAGGGAAGCTGGGCTCTGGTGTCTGCACAGGTGAACCTGGCAGGGAGCAGGGCCATCAGCCCCAGGAGCCCCGCCGCCCACCTCCCGCGCAAACTCGCCAGAGGGAAGAACCAGTGTCCTGGAGGCGGGCAGAGGAGGGCCGCACCTGTGGTCACAGAGGAAGACGGCCCCGTAGTCGTGGCGATGCCGGATGACCCGCCCGATGGCCTGGTTCACGGCCCTGGATGCCTGCTGCCGGTACCAGTCGTGCCCGGAGAGGAACTGCGGGAGGCTCGGTCACAGGGGCTAGAGCACCCCACCCCCATGCCCGGCCCACGCATCTCACCTGGCCCACGGCCCCACCCTGGCCCTTCATCTCATCCAGGAACTGCATCTTGAGAACAACCCGGGGGTCCATGCGTGGGGGGTACGGGAGGCCTGTGATGATCACTCCCCGGCCATTCACGTCTGCGAAGTCCAGTCCCTCACTGGCCTGGGGGGGCAGTGGCCACTCTTTTTTTCCCCTGTCTACCTCCATGTATGCCCCCCACCTTCCCAAAGGGTCTACCCATGCCCAGACCCTCACAGCCATCTCCCCCAAGGGATGCGCAGGGTGGGAGAAACCTCCGACCCTGAGCCAGGCCGCACCTGGGGTCCACCGCCCCCAGAGCCCCACTACCAGCTCCTCGTCCTCAGACCCGCCTCCGTCCTCCCTGCCCAGGGCCCACCCCAGCCCAGACCAGCAGGCCCACAACCTCCTGTGTTTGCTGCTCATGGGGCCTGAGTGGCTGGTGGGCCCCTATCGCCCACAGTGCAGCCCCCAGGCCAGGAGCCCTGAGCTCCCTCAGGCACTGGCACCAGACAGGGAGGAAGGGCCAGCCAGCGTCGGACCCAGACCCTGGAGCTCTCACCTTCCCCCGGCACACGGCCAGGAAGGTAGCCCCGCTGGACCCAGGGGCAGCCACTCTTGCATAGTAAGCATCCATGACCTGGAAGGACTGGCTAGTCAGTCTGGCCCCTGTGGGGGCCCCTCCACCTCCACGAGCAAGGCTCCAGGTATCCCCCTCTGAGGTGAAGCAGTCCCAGCAGGGAGTGAGCCAGGAGGGTTCCAGAACCTTCTCCATGGCACAGGCACCCTCGCTGTTCCCAGAAAACACAGAGGCCCCAGGGCTGGGTGGGCGGGGAGCCCTGCTTCGCTGCCAGCCCCACAGACACAGTGTCTCCTGCCGCTGTCCCTGTGCCCAAACTTTCTCAAAGGCCAGCAGGACCTAAGTGCCACACAGCCTGGAGCTGGCCTGAGCCCCTGGTCAGGGACAGTGGCCAGCCCAGCAGGGCAGTGGAGCCCAGTGACCAGACCTCCGAGAAGCCTCCTTTGCTCCTGGGCTCCACGAACAGGGGCTTCAGGACCTCCAGCTTCCTGGCGAAGTCGCGGGCCTGTGGGAAGAGGTGGGGAAGGGGACTCCTGAAACACCCTCTCAGATGAGGGCCCTCCCTCTGGCCCCACCAGACCCTTGGCCATTGGGGCTCCCCTCCCCCGCCAGGCAGACACTCAGAGGAGAGACGCACCCGCCAGAACTCCAGGCTTTTCTCCATGACAGGGTAGGAAGGGAAGAAGACGAGGAGCCCGTGGGGGACCACGCGTGCGATGTTGCCTGCAGGTGCCGCAGCCTTGGTCAGCAGGAGAGGGTGACCCGCAGAGGCTCCCACTGGCTCCCCGAGGGCGACCAGGCAGGACAGGGAGCAGAGTGGGGGTGGGCTCAGAATGGGGCAGGGCCCTGGGACTGGATGGGCACTCACCCAGCGCCTTCCCCAGGGAGGACAAGCACTCCTCAGAGAACCTGTGGAACCAGGACGCCGTTGCCGTGAGGGTCCCCAGCACTTGGCCCGTCCACCTCCTAGCCCGCCAGGCCCCCTACCGTTTGTCAAAGGCAGAGCTCAGCTGGGCTCCATCAGGGCCTTTGGGGACGATCCCCACCCAGATCTGGTGCTTGTCGATGACGTGGGGGTTCTCCAGGCAGACGGGGAAAGGACTAGAGGGAGGCGGGTGTGGCACTGAGAGACCCTGGTCCCCCAGCACCCCACCAGCCCAGGGCAGGGGGGCAGCCCTTACATCTGCATCTCCAGGGCGAAGGAGGACACAGGGGCCAGTGTGCCGCTGGTGAGGATGAGGCTGCGCACGCCCTGGCGGACCAGCTCACGCACGCTGTGGCCGGGGCTGAAGCACCAGTAGCTCAACACCTTCCCTGCGGGGGCTGAGAGAGTGAGGCCACGGCCCCCGGGCCCCCCAGCAGCCCTGGTGCGTCTCTCCCACAGTCTGATCCCGGGGCCTGCCTGAGCAGGGAGCTGAGCGCATGGCTGGGGCCCTCCTTCGGGGGTCCCAGGAGCAGGATGCAGACCCAGAGGAGCTTCCCCAGGACCCCCAAGGTGGGTGGGGATGCCGAGGTCACTTCCAGAGAGGTCAGCCTACCCCTACCCCAGACATCCACGTGGCTCAGGGCATGGGGAACCATCCACCAGACTCCGGGCAGGACGGCAAAGGAGGGAGGGGCGCGGGCCCACGTTCCCCTGGAGGCAGGAAACCAGCTGTGCCTACTACACACACAGACACGCCCACCTCCCCTGCAGACCTCAGCAAATGGAAACAGCACCAGCAGATGCTTTAAGGATTAAAGTCAAGGCCATGCCAAGGTCAGCAGGGACACTCCCAAAAAAGAACCAACCACTTTCCGGGACGGGGTCTGCCCTGTGACGAGAAGGCGGTGGGCACAGGCCCACGTCGTCGGGGCCAGCCCCGCACCAGCGATGGCAGGAGTCACCACAGGAGACCTTGGGGACCCAGTACCAGCCCCAGGCCCCAGGCCCCCTGTGTGCTCTGCGGAGTGTGTGGGCTGACAGACCCCTTGTAGAAACATGTCAGGTGGGACCCCCACCAGGTGACTCCAGGCAGTCCCCGTGCCACCGGGCCTCCCCTGAGGTCTTTCTCACTCTGATCTCTCTGACTTTCAGAAAGCAGGTAGCGACTTCGTGGGGAGAACAGACCAACAGGCAGCTGGGAGCCAACAGCTGGAGGAGGGGCCACCAGGCTGGGCAGGGGAGCCTGTCCGGGCCCCTTGAAGTGCTCTATGTACCTTGCTTTCTGGCCGCTGTGATGTTCCAGGCATCTGACCGCTGGGCTACCCTCCGGTGACCAACATCTGGGTGAATGTGCACCTGGAGAAGTGGAATGGACGGGTGTTCTGAGACCCCCGCCCGGGGGCCCTGCATCCTGGAGGGAGCCCCCACCTTGTAGGACTGAGACCCCCGCCCGGGGGCCCTGCATCCTGGAGGGAGCCCCCACCTTGTAGGACTGAGAGGCCCCAGGCCCCACCATGGAACCAGGGCCGCCTTCAGCAGGGTCCACGCTAAACACGCTCTAGAAGGAAGAGATGGGGGACAAAGTTGGCAGGCCACACTGGTCACTCAAGACACACCAGAGGCTGCCACTCCTGCTGAGCTGCACCCACACAGGACAGATGTGCTCAAAGCCGCAGCATAACCTGCCCCTGCCTCCACGTCGGCAGCGACTCTGGGGCAGGACCCCAGGCCGAGAAGTGGGAACTGCCTGTCCCCTCGCCTCAAGGACCCCACTGCACTGGAGACACAGTCACCCTGCAGCGCCCCCCGACCCCCTGGCAGCCAGTCCATGTGCTCCCACGGGGACTAGGCCCAAGTCAGCAGCCCGACCCCTCCCCTCTCACCCAGGACTGGGCCAGCGGCAAGGAACCTAGTTGATTCCCAGAAGGGACAGGAGGAGTAAAACAAGAAGTGCGCTTTTAGCCAATGCAACGAGCCAAGAGAGAACTACAAGAGGTGAACAGCGGAGCAGAAGGTGCGAAACACTGGATGTTACCAACGACGTGACTGCCTACTCAGAACATCCAGGAAAACAAAATGACAGATGCTCAGAACTACAAAGATGTCTTTCTCAGATACCTCCACCTGAGGCCGACAGACAAAAACCAGCAGGTTCCTCACACAAGCCCCCTTTACGACGGCAACAGCAAGTACAAAGAACACCAGAAGTAAACTAAGAAAGAGGGTCATTTCCTCCCGACACAGAATTTAAAACTTCCCTGCAGAGCAGAGCACTGAATCTTCTGCCCATTCTTAACACCATGAAGCCGCTGGCTCCCCCACAGGAAACTGCAAGTCCAAGGGCAGCCAGGCCAAAAGCCCAACCGGAGCCTCACAGGAAGTGAACAGACTGCCGCCCAAACTCGCCAGGCAGATAAAAGGCCAAGGAGACCCACGTAAAGGAGCAGCGGGGGGAGCGCGCCCCCAACCCCAGCAGACAAGGCCGCGCAGCGAGTGCGCAGGAAAGGGGGTGTAATTCCCGCCCTGCACCGCGCCAGGGAGCTTCTGCTGGGCCGGACACCAGAGATGAAGCCTCGCCTCCTACTCGGTGTCCGGTGTCCGTGAAACAGAGACCAGGTGCTGCCAGCACACAGGAGAGGAAGCCTCACCCCCAAATCTTCCTGCAAACGGGAAGGGCTGGGAAGAGGCTGGGGTGAGCGTGGAGCTACGCTCTGTTCTCAGTGGACTCCGGGGGACCAGTGGGGCACTGTGCCCTGGGACACAGCCTGAGCAAGCGCCAGCAGGAGGAACCTCAGGAGGCACCTTCCCCTCCACCGTCCAGATGGCAGACACCTGGCCTTGCGATTTGCCTCAGTGTCCGCCTGCAGGTACAGAGCCACCCACTGGCCTTGACCCCAGGGCGGAGGCCACGCCAGCAGGTGAGGCCACTCTGAGGCCTTGGCTTCCCCTGCAAACCCCTGCACCTCAGCCCCAGGAGTGGTCCTCCTGCCTCCAGGGAAGGGATAATTTCAGACATTGGCGTGGCCGCTCTGTCTGAGCACCGGACACCGGGGTGAGCGGGTGGGGAGAAGCCAGGGCCCACGGGAGAGCCTGATGTAGCATCTCCTCGCGGGCTAAGTGCCAGTACCCACCCACAGCCAGCTCTGCAAGTTCCCCTGGGACCCCATCCCCTGGAAGTGCAGCTGTATCAAGAAGCAGGAATGTTTCCTGCAGGCCGGGCTCTGCTACACTTCCTCCTGGCACTTCTCTGACCATGATGCAGTGGGACTGCTGGGTCTAGGGGAGTACTGACCCCATCTGCGGCCCCGCCCTGGAGGCGCCACCCCTGCCAGGTAGGCCCTCTGCTCATCCCCTCGGGTCCCTGCGGATAAACAGGTCAGTGTGCAGGGCACTCTCCTCTCCCAAGGGGCCCAGCCCACGGCACCCTCATCCCAGGCCTTTGCAGGCCCACTCCCTGGAATGCCCCTTCGTGGATGGGTTCCTCCCAACTCTGGACTCTGGAACTCAAACACCACCGAACGTAGGAGTCTGGAATCTCCTTTGGCAGCTGCTCTAAGCGGCCCCAGGGACTGACTTGGCGCCTTGGCCTGCCCTGGGCTGCCCACAGGCCTACTCTCTCTGGGTGTCTCTCCACCCGCTTACGTGTGGCTGGCAGCTGCCTGCTCCAAAGCTGGTTCCTGAGCACCTATGGGCGCCAGCGGGGGGCCCCTAGGGAATGTGGGTGTGCTGGGCAGGCGTGGGCAGGGCCACAGGGCAGGCTGCTGGCCTTGGTGGGGCATCGGGCTGCTCGGACAGGCAGCCTGTGGTGAATCCATGAAGAGCTCAGGGCTGGACCTTGAGACATGGTTTGTATACGACAGAGGGTGAAAGCTGACCCAGATCAGAGACTGGAAGCGGCGGCCTCAGGAAGACAGAGCAGGCAGTGACGCAGGGGGCACAAATGCCCGAGATGGCATGAGGCCGCTACCTGCTGCATGGCCCAGACGGGGGCTGCTGGTACCTGATACTGGGGGGCAGAGACGCTGCCCTGCACGGCCCTACTGTGCCAAGTGTGGACTGGGGGGGGTGTGGGTGGAGCCTCAGAAGCACAGTGAAGAGTGGGGAGATGGGGTGGGGCCACTGAGTGGCAGGCACTGCCCAGCAGGTCACCCAGGGCCTCGAGCCCACTGAGCCTGCACACAGCCAGACAGGCCCCCCGACCCTTAAGCAAATCCCGAAGCCCAGAGTGAGGCCCGCCTGGCCCAGGGACATGCAGACCACCTGCTGACTCCAAACAACAGCCCTACAGGCCACCGAAGAGCATGAGTGTAGCGAGACGCACTCTCCTCATGTCTGAATGTCCTCTGGGCGAGGATGGCCCAGCAAAGCAACACGGGGCTGGGGGACAGAGTCCATGCTCCTAACTCTGAGACGGGCTTCTGCTCTGACTTTGCCCTGAGAAACTGTGTCAATAAGAAACTGGAGAGAAGGTGAGGGCAGCTGGCTGGGCAGGAGCAGCTGGGCCAGTCTGAAGACCCGGGGACCCACCAGGCGCTCAGCCTATGCAGCTCCCGCTGCCCACTGGGCCCTGGTGTAACTGGCTGGAGCCACCGCGTGCAGCCCCCTCCCCAGGCCTGCGGTGTGCGCTCAGGGTGGGAGGAAGCAAGCCCCGAGGGTGCTGACTTGAAGTATGTGCTGTGGGCGCCGTGTCCTGCCCCCAGGTGTGGGATCAAGAACTGCTCCAGTGGAAGGAGGTGCCCCCCAGCTTCCATCAGGAAAGAGAGGGTGACTCCTCCATCCTGGTCACACGCCGTTCCCCACCTGGATGATGTCCGCGAGCTTCTGCAATCCTGCCGTGTTGGTGAACAGCCCTGCACCTGTAGAAGCAGCATGCTGACGACCCCACACCCCTCAGGACCAGAAAAGAGGCTCCAGCCAAACCAGGCTGGGGCCGCCCGGCCGCCCCCGCAGAGCCCAGGAGCACATCAAGGCCCCGCCGGCACAAGCTGCCCGGTGGAAACCCTCTGAGTGGAAGCGGGGTGCAGGAGGTTTGTGGGAGAGGCTGGTGGGACCCCCAGCTCACCAAGGTCCCTCACTGCTCTTTCCAAAAAGGAGCTGACGGGGAAGACTGCTTTACAGAACACTCGCTGCCAAATGTGCCAAGGCCTCGGAAAGGTCAGAAATGCAGTTCCGAGGGCCACATCCCCACCCGGTGGGCGCAGCCACAGGGTGCATGTGGCTCGGGACTCACGTCCTGCCAGGTGCTGGATGATCTGATCCAGGAAGTCCAGGATGCAGCCCTTGGACTGAAACGTTATCTGGGCTTCCGCAAACAGCTCAAAGATGTAACTGCAGAGAAAGAGGCAGCTCAGGTTCTGCGGGAGACTAGGCTGCACCCTAGTCAGCCAACAGCGGTTTAAGTTTCCTTCACTCAGAAACAAGCTCTGAGCCTCCAGGAGGGCCAGGCGTGAAGGTGAGAGGCCTCTGCTGGCAGGAGCCCCGGTGGGTAGGACAGCAGCCCGCACAAGACCTGGGTGCAGAGAAAGGACTGGGCTAGGGCCAGGGGTGGGGGCTGGGAGGTGGCCATCAGGGCCTCCCTGCGGCAGCGGCTCTTTGCAATGCACCCAAAGAGCCGTTTTGGGAAGAGCTGGGAGGAAGGGCATGGGCTGCTGCAGAGGCCCTGGGGAAGGTGGGCGGAGGCTCCTGGTTCCTCTGGGTCCCACCAGGGTCTGAGCACAGCAGAGCAGACAGAGCTCAGGGAGAGAGAGGGCAGGCAGCCCAGCGCTCCAGAACATCCCAGAACATTTCTCGCCTGGACAAACCTGGGCCTGGGTCCCAGCACTGCTACAGGAAACAAATCCTGTGGCCTGGAGGACGTTCAGAACATTCCAGCCAACTACCGGCCTAAGGAGGTGACGGTGTGACCAAACTTTCTGTCCTGGCAGAAGGTGGCATGGAAGTAGGCACCTTGTTCTAGAGGCAACCGCACCTCGAATGAAGGGCTGGACTAAACGCTGCAGGGACAGGGCCCCTCCCCTCCCTGGCCCTCACCTCCCTGGCTTGGTGACGCCGCTGTCGCCTCCAGGCAGCTCCACAGCATCAATGGCCCCCTCCAGGCGCAGCAGGATCACTGTGGGGGTGGGGCTGTCAGGGGCGGGGCCAGCAGGGAGGGGCAGGGCCAGTGGGGAGGGGCTTCAGCAGGACCAGGCACTTACTCTTCAGCTTTGCCAAGTCTTCCAGCTCCATGTTCAGCCCTGGAGGAGGAAAAAGCTCAACAGCTCTGCATGTTATGACCCACCTCCGCGTCCTAAGGCACCAGGACTCTGACCAGGGAAGGGGCTCTAAAATCCTAGCAGCCTGGGCTGAGCTGGAAGCGGCAGGAGCTTGTGGCAGTCACCTTCAGAGAGACCTTGAGGACACGCACATGAACTGGTTCTGACTGCATTTTCCTTAGGACCAATGGGTCCTTTCTTCATGTGCACACTGGCCACCTTGTACATCCTTGAAGGAGGGTCTGTCTCTACCCTTTGCCCATTTTTAAACTGGGTTGGGCTGTCTTTTTGTCGAGTTGTAAGAAATTCCTCTGTATTTACCCACAAATCCCTCCTCAGATCTATTACTTGCAAAAGCCGTCTCCCATCCTGTGGGCCGTCTTTGCTTTCTTGATGGTATCCTCAGAAGCACGGAAGTGCCTGACTCTGTTAAGTTCAGTTTATCTATTTTCGCCCTTGACGTCTCTGCCCTTGGCGTCACTTCCAAGAAACCAGTGCCCCCCTCGGGGCCATGGAGGGCAACACCCCAGTGCATAAGCTCGCTCCTTCGGTGTGGGCCATGCAGAGGCCTCCCCCGGAGGGGCGGTGTGGGGAAGGGGCCCTGCCACAGCTGACCTCAGCCAGCCAGCACGGTCCAGCACCATGCCGAGCCGGCAGCAGGGACACTCGACAGGACGGGATGAGGAGGGCACTCAACGTCAAGCTCTTCCTCTCCAGATCCCCAGACCTCAGTAAATCCTGAGAAACACGCCACACACATCCCAAGGAAAGGACGTTCTACAAAATGTCTGACCACTCCTCCTCCAAAGGGTCAAGGTCGCCAAAAACAAGGGACGTCTGAGACACTGTCGGGGCAAGAGCGGCCGTGGGGACCTGGAGGCCAAAGCAAGGGCAGCAGGGGGACGCTCAGGACACGGACCACTCTGCGCCCCTCGGGGACGCTGCTGCAACACACGTGGTCCTGAAGCACCCGAGGAAGTGGTCAGTGTCAGTCACCCCCAAGAGAAAAGCACCCCAGAACCGCGCCAAGGCCGTTTCCACCTTTAAGCTGGAAAAATGGAAGAGCCTGACGCCACGCTCTGCTGGCGAGGCCATCATGACGGACAGCATGCCCACTGTCACGGAGCAGGCACACTAGTCCCCGAGCTGCCTGCGCAGAGCCCGGGAGGCCTGACTGGACCCGGCATCCTGCCTCCTGGAACTGACCCTGAAGGAACCTTCGGACAAGACAAAAGGACACAAGACAGCACTGTCGGTATCTGCAAAGTACTGGAAACAACCTAAAGGCCACACCAATGGCCAAACAGACACGGAGACCTGCAGGAGGGAGTCGGCAAGTCTCTGTAAAGTGAAGTGTCCACCAAACACAGTAGGTCCTTTATGCGGGAGAAAGACAAGCGAAGGAAATACACCTACATCTGCTGCTTCTTGTGAAAACCAAAAAAAAAAAAAATACAAAGAAAGGATAAACCAGAAACGAACAAGACATTTCTGTTGAGTAAACTGTGACTTGAACTAGCTCGTGTTTCAAATACTCAAAAAAATAAATCAATAAATAATCAAAAAATCAACATAAATGGAGACAGATGGAATAAGAAATGAAAGACGCACATGAACAAACGGGCCTGCGATGAGTGGCGTAACCAGGGCCGGGACAGCCCCAGAGACTCCACGCTCCCAGACCACCGAGCCCAGCAAGCAGACCTCCACCCGGGCGGCCGGGTGGGCTGAGCAGCGTCCACAGCACTGGGGTCCAACAGGCGAGCAAAGTCCTGAGGGACGGAAGCTGCCTCCCTCACCACCACACACAGGCCACAAGTGCGGAAGAGAGAACAGGAGAAAGAACTGCTGGTTCTGGACCAGACCGGGCCGTGGCTGTGACGCTGGTGAGCCAAGGCCTCCGCACGGTGGGATCCCGGCTCTGACGGCCAGCACGGGGTGGGACGCCCACGTCCGCAGACCTTGTGGACATCCTCAGTTCCGGGACGGACCACGAATCGTGCCGCAGGTTACTTCTGAGTGACGAATGGAAAAACAGCAACTTCACTGCGGAAACACCACAACTGCCCTGAAGCCAGCGATCAGAATCAGCGCCACCAGAAACGTGAGGACGGGCCCGTGGTGCCTGCGAGACCAGGGGCTTCGGCGGGAGCCCCCAAAAATGCATAACCTGAGTCGAGCCACAAGGACACGTCAGACAAGTCCACGCTGCAGGACAGTAAACAAAGTAACTGACCCTCCTCTTCACAAATGCGTGGGCCGGGAGACGGCAGCTGAGACACTGACAGGTGAAGGCCGGAGACCCCAGGATGTGGCCGCGCGGCCTGGACCACAGTGTCCAGTGCGCTGCTTCGGCTCCACCTGAGGACAGTGGGGAAAATTATGGACGCTGGTTTCTTGATCGGGTGACTGCACTACGGTCACATGAGGACATCCTTGTTCTCGGGAAACGCACACTAAGACAAAGTAAAGGTGCCAGGTCTGCACTGCCCTCAAGACACAGAGAGAGGAAACTTCTACTCAGGACGCCGGGCAAATAGGTCTGGGGGAAGAGGACTAGGAGTTCCGCAAATTATCTGAAACAGAAAATGCTGACGTCTGACAAGACGTGAGACAAGAAACAAGTCAAGTTTTCTGAAGGTCAGCAGTGAAGTACAGAACCCAAACACAATTAGGAGAAAAACATACTTCAAAAATGAAGGTTCAATTAAAAGGAACACAGAAATAGACACATGCCACACTGTCTTCAGAGAAACAGGAGGGAAGGCGGGAACTGTAAGTCAAAGAAAACTGGAGACAGAAGGGTTCCAGGGAGTGGCAGGCTGTGGCCTCAGGCAGGAGAGACGAGGGGGCCGGCCCTGGGCTCTGCCTGCAGGACAGCGTCCCAGCAGAAAGAGACTTGAACTACAACTGAAAGAGCTCAGCAGGCCCTGGACAGCATCGATCCAGAAACTCAACGCTGACAAACTGCAGCAAAACGACCGGACTTCAGAAAGAAAAAAAGGAGTCAACCAGGTAATCTACGTCTAGACAACTCCCCGCAGAAACACTCACCTGTGACTCAGACACACACATTCGGAGTTGAAAACAGAGATTTAGAAATTCGTGTCACAGGTCAACATGGTAAAGTACAGAGCTCTCGTCCAGACCAGGACTCCCGAGCAGCAGGGCGCAGCGGCCAAGCCCCGCC